GAGAAAAAAAAAAAAAAACTGCCGGGCACTGGTGGCTCATGCCAATCCTCCTAGCCACTCAGGAGGCTGAGATCTGAGGATCGCAGTTCAAAGCCAGCCTGGGCAGGAAAGTCCATGAGACTCTTATCTGCAATAAATCACTAGAAAACCAGAAATGGCGCTGTGGCTCAAGCAGTAGAGTGCTCACCTTGAGCTGAAGAGCTGAGGGACAGCACCCAGGCCGAGTTCTTTCTAGAATGTCAAACGCCAAGAAGTTGCTCACCGGGCATGCGTCCCTGAGCCTCTGGCGGGTCTGGCTTCCCTGAGGCCTCGTTTCCCAGGCACCAAGACCTCCCAGTGCCATGAGCAAGGCTGTGCGGGCTGGAGGGTGGATTTCAGCATGAGGTGCTCGCTTGGCATGCTGGAGGCCTTGGTTCAATTCCTAGCACCAGAAATAAAACACACCCCTCTAAACCTCCTTCCTTAAAAAACCCCAAACCAAAACACAGACGCGGAGGTGCAGTGGCAGCGACGGTGGCCAGGCTTCCGGGTGTTCCGGGCTCCAGCATCTCGAGTGTGGGGCCTGCGGGCAGGCGGCTGCGGACAAGGCTCTGGGTCAGGGTCAAAGTGCCCAGAGCTTGGCGTCTGCCGGCTGACTTTCCTCAGAGGAAAGGATCCCCGAGGGTCCTGCTCCCCAGGAGTTCCGCCATGAGGGGATCTGGTGGAGAAGGGTCACACCTGTGCTGTCGGCCGGTCTGGGAGGAATCAGCATGGGCAGGGGCACCGGAGCAAAGCCTTTGCGCTCTGCCTGCTGTGAACATCGACAAGCAGTCAGGCAGGAACACTGGCCAAACTGAAGACTTGGTAGGAGCTCTGTGGGGCCAGGAACGCCCCCCCCCCCCCCATTCCAGAGCATCCCAGACACTCCTTAGCTTTGTGCATGTCTACATGTGTGAGGACTGGACTACGAAGTCTAGACTAGGTCACTCGGCCTTAGCTTTTTCGCTCAAGGCTGGCACTCTACCACTCGAGCCACAGCTCTGCTTCTAGATGGCTTTTTGGTGTTTAATTAATTGGAGGCATCTCACAGACTTTCCTTGATCCTCAGATCTCAGCATCCTGGAGTAGCCTGGGTTGCAAGCGTGAGCCAGGGGGCTCAGGTCCCCGTTAGCTTTGAGTGTTGGGATGGACGCTGTGCCCACTTTGGCTCTGGCTGATCACTGGCAGGCCCTGGTCATAACTTCCTAACTACTGGCCATGAGGAGGTATGGATGTGTGTGTGGGGGGGTGCTGGGGACCCCAGGGCATGCCTGCTCGGCCCCGTGTGTGGACCTGAATGCCTGCTCTGCTGCCCGTGGGTCCGACGATGTTTCCCAGCCAACACTGCCACGCAGCCTGTCTGCCTGGCACTCCTGTGCCTGGTAAACGCCAGGCCGGCAGGTGTGCGAGCAAGCCCACTCCTCGGCTGCGTCAGGGGTGCTTGGCTGGCAGACGTGGCCCAGGCCCTTAGCCATTCCCCCGTGGCCAGCAGGTCCTGCCCGGGCACCATGTGCACATGCCCTGCCATTCTGCCACCCAGTGAGGATGCAAACAGCAGAGCACCACGGACGTGAGCCCAGGCCAGGCGGTTGGCCGTGGGCTCTGCCTGGGCCGCGTCCTGGGTTGGTTGTCTGGCCAGCCTAACCCTACAACGCCCAAGAAACCCAGGAAACCAAGGGGGCCGGGGCCACTCTGCGGCTCCAGCCCCACCAGGGGACCAATCAGACAGGACCCGGCAGGCAGGATGCCCCCGCACGTGGCTGAGGGCGCTCACGGCTGGGACCTCGGGAAGACGGACGGTGCCCAAATGACCCATGTTTCTAGAAATCACTCCTGAGATAAAGTTCGGTGTCTCCTCCAAAAGGATCACCTAGAGGTGGGCAGAGCTCACCAAGAGCAAGGAGCCTCCCGCTGGGCCGCCCGAGGCACAGGGCCTCTGACATTTGCTGTTTCCCCAGCACGGCCCTGAGGGCTGAAGTATTCTCTTGTAAACTTGTTTTGTGGGGCACGGTGGCTCATGCCTATCATCCTAGCTACTCAGGAGGCTGAGATCTGAGGATTGAGGCTCACAGCCAGGCTGGGCAGGAACGTTCGTGAGACTTATTTTCAGTAAACCCCCAGAAAACCAAAATGGCACTGTGGCTCAAGTGGTAGAGCGCTAACCTTGAGCTGAAGAGCTGAGGGACAGCGCCCAGGCCCAGAGTTCAAGCCTCACGACTGACAACACTTGTTTCTGGAGTGCAAGTTATCAGTCCCTGACAAGAAACTATTTGCCAATAAAGCTGACCTTTTCTCCAAGTTCAACTTGTGTGTGTGTTGTGTGTGTGTGTGTGTTGGTACTAGGGCTTGAACTCAGGATCCCTCAGCTTTTTTACTCAAGACAGGTGCCCTACCACTTGAGCCACAGCTCCACTTCTGTTTTTTGGGTGGTTAATTGGTGATAAGGCTCAGATGCTGGCTCACCAAGTTCAACTTTAATCCTACGCTGTGACACTCAGGGACAGCTGGGAAGGGGGGTGGACATGCTCCATCTTCTCATTTCTACTTTGTGAGGGTCCCGCAGACCCCAGTGGCCGGCAGGACGGCAGTGCTGGGTGGTACGGTGGGGTGGGGGTGGCAGCGGTGGGGTGCTGGGCAGCTCCCTCAGCTCCATTCTTTCTTTCTTTTGTTTTGTTTTTTTACCAGTCCAGGGGTTTGAACTCAGGGCCTGGGCACTGTCCCTGAGCTTCTGTTGCTCAAGGCAAGCGCTCTACCACTCGAGCCTCAGTGCCACTTCCCGCTTCTTCCGTGTCTGTGGTGCTGAGGGCCTCATGCATGCGAGGCGAGCTCTACCACTGAGCCCCTTTCCCAACCTCAGCTCCGCTGGTGTGGAAGGACGCACTGTGGGCCACAGGCCTACAACCACCTGGTGGTTGTCCTGAGTGGCCCTGGGCGGCGTCCTTCTCAGGTGTCTCAGGATCCCCAGGCTCTGCCAGGTGGAGCCCTGGCCTGGGATCTGCAGGCAGCATAAATGAGGCCCAGGGGGAGCTAGCAACATCCTGAGGGGCCCTTCCTGGGCCCCAGGGGCCTGCACCCCAGCCTCCGGAACCTGGCTGGAGCCATGCTCCCAAGCCGCCTTACCACCACCTCCCTCCCTCCCTTGCTCTGCTCCTCTTGTACCAAGTGGCTGGGCACCGGTGTAGCAGAGTCCAGGCATCGGGCTAGGCAGGTGGCTCAGGGGTAGAGCGCCTACCTAGCATGCATGAGGCCCTGGGTTCCATTCCTCAGTACCACATACAGAAAAAGCCAGAAGTGGTGCTGTGGCTCAAGTGGTAGAGGGCTAGCCTTAAGTAAAAGAAGCTCAGGAACAGTTCCCAGGTCCTGAGTTCAAGCCCCAGGACTGGCAGAAAAAAAAAACCAAAGTCTGGGCATCCGAATGGGAGGGGCCGAGGAGCTGGGGCTCTGAGGACTCTGGGGAGCTTGGAGTTCAGGTCCAGGGCAGGGACTGGGGCCTCCTGCCTGGAAAAACTGCTGCTCTGCAGTGGCTGCGCGCACAGGTGCCCGGCTCCAGCTCTACTGTGAGGCGCATCTCTCCTCCAGGCCTCTGCCTGAGGGCTGCTGCCAGGGGACACCCATGACTTGCTGGTGGCTGTTTGCTGTGTGGAGGCCTGGGGGGGAGGGTCAGGCCCTGGGGGAGGGTCAGGGGGAGGGTCCTGGGGGAGGGTGGGGGGAGGGTCCTGGGGGAGGGTAGGGTCTTGGGGGAGGGTCGGGTCCAGGCAGAGGGTGGGGGGGTTCTGGGGGAGGGGAGGTCCTGGGGGAGGGGAGGTCCTGGGGGAGGTCCTGGGGGAGGGTCGGGTCTTGAGGGAGGGGAGGGTCCTGGGGGAGGGTCAGGTCTTGGGAGAGGGTCCTGGGGAGGGTCGGGCCCTGGGGGGGAGGGTCGGGCCCTGGGGGAGGGTCCTGGGGAGGCGAGGGCCCTGGGGGGGAGGGTCTGCCCCTGGGGGAGGGTGGGGGGGGGGAGGGTCGGGCCCTGGGGGAGGGTCCTGGGGAGGCGAGGGCCCTGGGGGGGAGGGTCGGCCCCTGGGGGAGGGTGGGGGGGAGGGTCGGGCCCTGGGGGAGGGTCCTGGGGGAGGGTCCTGGGGAGGCGAGGGCCCTGGGGGGGAGGGTCGGGTCCTGGGGGAGGGTCGGGCCCTGGGGGAGGGTCGGGGGGAGGGTCGGGCCCTGGGGGAGGGTCCTGGGGAGGCGAGGGCCCTGGGGGAGGGTCCTGGGGAGGCGAGGGCCCTGGGGGGGAGGGTGGGCCCCTGGGGGAGGGTCGGGTCCTGGGGGAGGGTCGGGCCCTCGGGGAGGGTCCTGGGGAGGCGAGGGCCCTGGGGGGGAGGGTGGGCCCCTGGGGGAGGGTGGGGGGGGAGGGTCGGGTCCTGGGGGAGGGTCGGGCCCTGGGGGAGGGTCCTGGGGAGGCGAGGGCCCTGGGGGGGAGGGTCGGCCCCTGGGGGAGGGTCGGGGGGGAGGGTCGGGTCCTTGGGGAGGGTCGGGCCCTGGGGGAGGGTCCTGGGGAGGCGAGGGCCCTGGGGGGGAGGGCAGGGCCCGGGCCGGGAGACGGAGGAGCCAGTGATGGCCGTCCACGCGCGTCGAGGCTGCCAGCTGGGGCGCGAGCCGGGCCGGCGGAGGTCAGCGCGGGGGTGCGGCCGCGGTGCCCGGGCCTCTGCCGCCACCGCGTGGCCGGCTGCGGGCGCCCCGCGGAGGCCGAACCCCGGAGCGGGGCCTCCGGAGCTCGCGCTGGACCCGAGGCCGCGGCGGGCGGGGGTGCGGGGAACCGGGTCCGGGCCGGGGCCGCGCGCTCGGGTCGGCCGCGGGGAAGCGCCTCGGCCTCGGCCCCCCCGAGCTTCCGCCGTCCCGGGGGAGCGGGCCGCGGGCCGCCGTGGGGTCGGGCTCCCGGGGCCCCGGGCTCCCCGTGGGGCCGGAGGCCCCGCCCCCGCGGCCCGCGCTCACTTCCGCCGGACGCGCGCTCGGGCGGCGGATGGCGGCGGCGCGGCCGCCGGGGAGGCTGAGCCGGCGGAGGCCGCCCCGGGACGGGTGAGGGGCCGGGGGGGGGGCCCGGGGGGTCAGGGGCCTCGGGGGGCGGGGGTCGCGGGCCTGGGGGCCCCGGCCGGGCCCCACGTGCGCCCCGCGCCCCGCCCCCGGCGCCTGACCCCGCCTCCGTCCGCGGCGCAGGTTCCCCCCGCGGTCCGCCTCCGGGGCCGCCGCGAGCGAGCCGTGGGCCGCCCTGCTGCGCGCGGCCGGCGTGGGTCGGAGCCCGGACCTGGAGCCGCTGCCCGCGCTGCCGGGCCAGGTGCGTCTGCGGGGCGGGGCGCCCGGGAGGTGCGGAGGTGGCGGGGGGGGGGGGCGAGTGGGGGGGAGTTCCGGGGTTGCGGGTGGGGGTGTTCCTGTGTGCGGGGGTCCGGGATGCGGGGGCGGCACCCCGGGGTGCGGGAGGAGTTCCCGGGGTGGTGGGGGGTGCGGGAGGAGTTCCCGGGGTGGCGGGGGGGTGCGGGAGGAGTTCCCGGGGTGGTGGGGGGGGTGCGGGGGGAGTTCCCGGGGTGGCGGGGGGGGGGGGTGCGGGAGGAGTTCCCGGGGTGGCGGGGGGTCCGGGGTGCGGGAGGAGTTCCCGGGGTGGTGGGTGGTCCGGGGTGCGGGAGGAGTTCCCGGGGTGGTGGGGGGGGTGTGGGAGGAGTTCCCGGGGTGGTGGGGGGTCCGGGGTGCGGGAGGAGTTCCCGGGGTGGCGGGAGGTCTGGGGTGCGGGAGGAGTTCCCGGGGTGGCGGGGGGGGGGGGTGCGGGAGGAGTTCCCGGGGTGGTGGGGGGGTCCGGGGTGCGGGAGGAGTTCCCGGGGTGGTGGGGGGGGTGCGGGAGGAGTTCCCGGGGTGGCGGGGGGGGTGCGGGAGGAGTTCCCGGGGTGGCGGGGGGGGTGCGGGAGGAGTTCCCGGGGTGGTGGGGGGGGGTGCGGGAGGAGTTCCCGGGGTGGTGGGGGGTCCGGGGTGCGGGAGGAGTTCCCGGGGTGGTGGGGGGGGTGCGGGAGGAGTTCCCGGGGTGGTGGGGGTGCGGGAGGAGTTCCGGGGTGGCGGGGGGGGGGGGGTGCGGGAGGAGTTCCCGGGGTGGTGGGGGGGGGTGCGGGAGGAGTTCCCGGGGTGGCGGGGGGGGGGGGGGGATGCGGGAGGAGTTCCCGGGGTGGCGGGGGGGGGGGTGCGGGAGGAGTTCCCGGGGTGGTGGTGGGGGGTCCGGGGTGCGGGAGGAGTTCCCGGGGTGGCGGGGGGGGGGGGGTTGCGGGAGGAGTTCCCGGGGGTGGCGGGGGGGTCCGGGGTGCGGGAGGAGTTCCCGGGGTGGTGGTGGGGGGTCCGGGGTGCGGGAGGAGTTCCCGGGGTGGTGGTGGGGGGTCCGGGGTGCGGGAGGAGTTCCCGGGGTGGTGGGGGGTCCTGGGTGCGGGAGGAGTTCCCGGGGTGGCGGGGGTCCGGGGTGCGGGGGGAGTTCCCGGGGTGGTGGGGGGTCCGGGGTGCGGGAGGAGTTCCCGGGGTGGTGGGGGGGGGTCCTGGGTGCGGGGGGAGTTCCCGGGGTGGCGGGGGTCTGGGGTGCGGGGGGAGTTCCCGGGGTGGTGGCGGGGGGGGGGGGGGGTTGCGGGAGGAGTTCCCGGGGTGGTGGGGGGTCCGGGGTGCGGGAGGAGTTCCCGGGGTGGCGGGGGGGGGGGGGGGGGTTGCGGGAGGAGTTCCCGGGGGTGGCGGTGGGTCCGGGGTGCGGGAGGAGTTCCCGGGGTGGTGGTGGGGGTGCGGGAGGAGTTCCCGGGGTGGTGGTGGGGGTGCGGGAGGAGTTCCCGGGGTGGCGGTGGGTCCGGGGTGCGGGAGGAGTTCCCGGGGTGGTGGGGGGGGGTCCGGGGTGCGGGAGGAGTTCCCGGGGTGGTGGGGGGTCCGGGGTGCGGGAGGAGTTCCCGGGGTGGTGGGGGGTCCGGGGTGCGGGAGGAGTTCCCGGGGTGGTGGGGGGGGGGTCCTGGGTGCGGGGGGAGTTCCCGGGGTGGCGGGAGGTCTGGGGTGCGGGAGGAGTTCCCGGGGTGGCGGGGGGGGGGGTTCGGGGTGCGGGAGGAGTTCCCGGAGTGGTGGTGGGGGTGCGGGAGGAGTTCCCGGGGTGGTGGGGGGTCCGGGGTGCGGGAGGAGTTCCCGGGGTGGTGGTGGGGGGTGCGGGAGGAGTTCCCGGGGTGGCGGGGGGTCCGGGGTGCGGGAGGAGTTCCCGGGGTGGCGGTGGGTCCGGGGTGCGGGAGGAGTTCCCGGGGTGGCGGGGGTTGTTCCCGTGTGCGGGGGTCCCGGGGTGCTGGGTCCCGGCCCGCGTGCGCAGCCTCCGCCTCCACTCCGCAGGACCCCGAGCCCGGCCCCGACGGCCCTGCGCCCCCCGAGGTTTTCACGGTTGGATCCCAGGTCTTCTCCTGGACGCCCTTGCCGCCCCCTCCGGCCCCGGCCCCCGCCCCGGCCCCCACCTCGCCCACCGGGCCCAGGAAAGGACGCCCGGCGCCTGCTCCCCGCGGAGCCCCAGGGGCCCCACCGAGCTGCCCTGCCTGCAGGACGGCCTTCGCCCCCCAGTGAGTGCCCGCCCTGGGGACCCGGGACCCCCCAGTGAGTGCCCGGCCTGGGGACCCGGGACCCCCCAGTGAGTGCCCGCCCTGGGGACCCGGGACCCCCCAGTGAGTGCCTGCCCTGGGGACCCGGGACCCCCCAGTGAGTGCCCGCCCTGGGGACCCGGGACTCGAGGGTCTGAGGCCGGCCCTGGGCAGGGAATTCTGGGAGGCGAATCCCCCTTTACCCAGCAAAAAGCTGGAGAGGAGGCAGACTTCCCTGGCGCGGCCACCAGGCTAGAGCCCAAAAGCCAAGTGAGGCCTTGGGAGCCCGGGTTCAAGTCCTGTCGCTGGTGGAGGGCTTGCTGCGGGTCTGGGGTCCTGTCCCCATCCTGGGCCCTGTGCTCAGAGAGGTTCTCCTGCCTCCCCCCCCATCTCCCGTAGCTCAGAGTGGCCCCACAGGGGGTCCCTTCATTCCCAGTGTGGACAGGTACGTGACCGGGCCTGTTCAGGATGAAGTCTAGGACCCACTTGCACTGATGTTGCACCCACACTGCCCCGGACCTGGGTGGGTCAGGAGAGTGAACACACTTGGTCAGTTCCTAACGAGTTGGATCAGGCAGCAGGTTCCAGGTGTTCTGTGACCAGGGGACCGTGGAAACCAGAAATATCTAGAAGGAGGATGGATTCTAAAGTTAGTAAGGACAACCCCAAACACACCGAACAGTCTGGCCAATTATCAAAATCCACAGACCAGTTAAGATGGGCTTCTCCATGGTGATGTCTTCATCTGAGTCTTCATCAGTGGGGGGCGGGGGGTGGCCCCAGCCCCACCCCTTCCACGCCCCCCCCCCTCCCGCTCAGGGAGTGGCGAGTGTGGGCTGGCTGGGGGACAGTTTGTGGTGGCTTCAGGTGGGCCATCTCTGTGTGCGCGCGTGTGTATGTGTGCGCGCATGTGTGTATATGTGTGTGCGCGTGCGGGCCCCCTCCCTCCCACAGCCCCATCCCACGCAGCAGCGGTGCCCGGGCTGACGTGGCCCACACCCCTTGTGCTCATCCTGAACTGACCCATGTGCCACCCTGGTGAGGCCGCGAGTGTTTTAAAGCAAAAGCCTCTGCTTTTTGGGTGGAAAGGCACCCAGTGCCGGAGCTCCAGCTCTGGCGGGAATTCATTTTCCCCCAGAACCCGAGCCTTTCTGCCTTTCTGCTGCCACCGGAGGCCCCCGCTGGGGGAGGCTTTTGTCTTAGCAGGGCTTTCATTTCCAGAGAATCTAAAAAAAGATTCTGGAAGACAGGCAGATTGAGGAGGAAGCAGCTCCCATTTTGAGCTTTTCTGCGCCGTTGCGTGAAGGCTTGGCAAAGTGCCTGGATTCTGAAGTAGGGTGTAGAGAAGCAGGTTCAGGTCTTAGCGTGTCTGGAATGCTTCTAGTGTGTTCTTCCATTTGGCCGTGAAGGAGAGTAACTACTTGGGCCACAACTCAGCCCGAGGCCATAGCTCTGCCGCCATCCTGGTGGGGGGGGGGGCTGTTCCTCACGTCTTCCCCTCTGTCCTCTGTCCTGCCCTCAGTCTGTCCAAGCGCTCCAGTGTGACAGGGGTTGGGTACTTGACTAGCCACAGGCACGGTGCTGTTTGTTGCTGGATCCTAGTGCCTTCTCTTGGGGGATGGGGCCCAGGCCCCTGGTACCGGTGCCCATGATATAAACAGCTTCACACTCGCACACAACCTGGGCACATCCTGCACCCCTGGAGAAGAATAACCTCGCAGCACCGGCTTCGAGCTCACCGTCTCGTGCTTTTAAAGCGGGGACTTGTACTCATTTTTTTTTTGCCAGTCCTGGGGCTTGAACTCAGGGCCTGGGCACTGTCCCTGAGCTTCTTTTTCTCAAGGCTAGTGCTCTACCACTTGAGCCATAGCTCCACTTCCAACATCTTTTTTTCTGTGTATGTGGTACTGAGGAATGGAACCCAGGGCTTCATGCATGCTAGGCAAGCACTCTACAACTGAGCCACCTTTCCAGCCCCTACTGATGTTGTGTGTGTATCAGTTCTGGGGCTTGAACTGAGGGCCTGGGTGCTGTCCCGGGGCCTGCACTCCAGGCTAGTTGTCTGTCACCTGAGCAGCAGTGGGAGCCTTCCTCCAGTAGGGAATTGCATTCATTCTTTTTGAACTAGGGTCTCGCTTTCTGCCAGGGGCGTGCCACCTTGCCTAGCACTGTGTTGGGGCGGGGCGTCTCTTAGAACATTTTCTGCCCAGGCTGGCCTGGAACTCAGCCTAGCGCCTGTCTCCCAAGTAGCTAGGACTATAGGAGGAGCCTCGGATACCCAGCGTTCCCTTCCCTGGGCCTTGCCTTCCCTGTGCTGGGATTGAACTCAAGGCTTCACATGTGCTAGACAGGTGTTCTACTGTCTGAGTCGTGCCCAGGCTAGCCTTGAGCTGCAACTCCGCTGAGATTCCGCTGCCTCTTCTCGGTAGCTGGGATTATAGGATTGAACCGCCGAGCCTGCGGGCTTGGTGCAGCGGTGCTGTGGAAGCCATCTCAGCACACGCGCAGGTCTTGGCCCCAGCAAGACCGGACCCAGGTACAGACTGAGCATGCTCAGTCCTGGGGCGTTCCTGGTAGCTCTGCTGACCACCCAACCTGACGCCAGCTGCCCCGGCCTCGTGTCCACGTGCAGTGTGGGCAGCCATCAGTTGATGGGGTCACCTGAGGTCCAGATGCTGCCCAGGCTCGTGGCTTGGGTGGGTATCTTCTTTCCAGCGCTCTTCCCAATCTCAGAACTGGGTGGAGGTTACTCCCTGGCACCAACTGCTCCTGGGTGGGGAAGGAGTCCTGCAGGCCCTGCGTGCAGTGCCTTCCCCTGTGCCCAGTGGGAGCCTGGTCTGTCCTGGCTGCAGGTTGATGGAAGCCGATGGCTGGGTGTGGATTGGGGCCTGAGCCTCTGCCGTGCTCAGACCCTGGGGGCGGGGAGGGTCTGTCCTGCCCGTCCTCAGTCCTCCATGCTCAGGTTGTGTCTCTGCCTGTGGTCTGCAGCTAGGCAGGCGTCTGGGCTGGCCTCCCGGGGCTGAGGCGGAGAGGCCTCTGGCCTGTAGGGTTCCCAGGCGGCGGGGCTTGGCCTGGTTTATGAAAGCTGGGGTGACCCCCCCCTCCCCACGGTGCTGAGCGGTAGAGGGTGGGGCTCCTGCAGCCTGGGGAGGTGTGGCAGGGAGAACACGGTGGTGTCCTAACTGCAGCCTCCATGGGCTTTTTCCCTTCAGGCTGGACCAGCTGGACGTGGACAGCCACCTAGCGCAGTGCTTGGCTGAGGGCATGGAGGACGTGGCGTGGTGAGCTGCTGCCTCGGGGGCCCTGGGAGGCCCGTGCTGGGTGCTGCCGTCCACTCACAGCACCTTTGCTCCAGGATGTGAGCTGCTCCCGGAAGGCCCACCTTGTTGCTGACCCAAATACACATGCGTCTGACTTAAGCACAGGTGTCAGCTCACTGGCGCTCACACAGCAGCTGACGGGGGGGGGGGGGGGGGGGGGGGGGCTTCACACAGAACCGGCCTCCACACCGCTGTACACACAGGTGGGCCGCCCTCCACAGCCGTGTTTCCATTCTTTCCACGTGCTCAAATCCCCATGCGGTGCCCGGGGTTACCACGGGCAGAGAGCTGCAGAGCTGGCACTGCGCTGGGAGGCTGGGGGAGCCGTGGGACCCCGACTTGACAACTGGAGAAATACATGGAGAGAGAGGGGTATTTTCAAGATGGCTGAGGGCGGGTTGGTGTGGCCCGGACCCAGTGTGCGGTCCTCACAGCTGCGGAGCACGGCAGGACGCGGGAAGGACGTGCGCGTGCGTGAGGCCTGCTGGCGAGGGGCCTGGCGCGAGGCTGGGCAGGCTGGGCCTTGGGGTGCGGGTGGCATGGCTGAGCCCAGGCCCAGAGGTTCTGGGACCTGGGAAGCAGCAGAAGACGGGTCTGTCTGAGGTCAAGACAGGAGAGCGGGGGAGCTGGAGTTGGGCTGCGCCTGCACCGTGGTGGACACAGCTGGGGAGGGCACCTGGCCCAGAGCTCGCCGGCTTGATGTCTTCCGTGCCCTGGTGGTGCCCACAGGAGGTGAGGCTCCCAGGAGGTACAGAGACCGGGACCCACAGGGCCAGGAGAGGAGGGCACCTGGGAGCCACCGCTAACATCCCCAGCGGTGCCATGAGCCAGAGCTCCGGAGTGCATCGCACCACCCAGAAGGTGACTCTAAGGTGAGCCACGGAAGGTCAGGAGCTCAGCCTCCGTGGCAGCCCTGCCGGGTGCTGGGAACCCTGGGCCCGGCCGTGGCGCAGTGCTGCTGTGGTCTGTCCCCAGGAGCTGCCAGAGTCGAAGGAAAGGGCTCCGCACCTCACTTTCCAGAAAACATACTTGTGTATATGCGGGGGCCTGAGTGTGGTCCTGGATTTTTGTGCTCAAGGCTAGTGCTCTACCACTTGAGCCACAGCTCCACTTCTGGCTTTTTGGTTGGCTAATTGGAGAGAAGAGCATAAGCTTTCCTGCCCAGGCTGGCTTTGAACTGAGATACTCAGGTCTCCACCTCCCGAGTAGCCAGGATTACAGCGTGAGCCAGCTGCGCACAGCTGAAGCACTTTTAGGTCTGAGAACGGTGCTCACTGGGCACCTGACACGAGCACATCGCCAGCCCCAACACCTTTTTTCCTAACAAAAGTGAGGACAATCGCGTGTGTTCACCAGTCTTTAATGGGTGGGCGTGCAGGGGTGTCACATGACTGGCACATCCACAAGAGACCCCGCCGGCCCCGCCCGCCAGCTCGGCAGAATCGTCTCCTGCCTCTCAGAGGTCGAGAGCTGTGAAGCCACGGGCCGTTGTGCAGACATTAGGACTTTTTCCTCACCACGCACCAGACATTCTTCACTTTACATTTATGTAACAAATCACCAAGTATGACGGTCAATGTGACTCACGCTTCGTGCACCGGCGGCCAAGCTGAGGGCAGCAGCCTGGCGGTGCACAGCCGCGTGCTAACGGATGGAGCGGCCCTCGCTGCGCCCCAGGGGACGGCTGCTGCCTGGCCTCCGGTGGACGGCAGTGAGCACGGGCGGATGGGACCACGTGGGCCTGGGCCCCTTAGACACAGCTTGGGCCCTGCAGAGGCCGCAGAGTTGGCTCTCAAGGTTTTTTTGACCAGTCCTTGGAGACAAGTGTTCCTGTTGGGCGCTGGTAGTGCTGGCGGGAGTGTGCACGCTCCGCGGGAGTTCCCAGGCTGCCAGAGGTGGAGCTGGGGTGGGGTCCCTGAAGCTGGGGCCCCAAGCACTGGTCCTGGCACCTTAGGCTGACAGCAGAGGCCTGAGAAACCTGAGTGCTCCAGGGGCCACGCAACGAGGTGCCGGCCATTGCCTGGACTCTAGCCAAAATCCTCACCAAGCTGCTCGCCCGCTGGGAAGCAGCCATGCTCTGCACCCCCCCCCCAGGCCTGGGGTCTCACAGCCTGCCAAGGTGTGTGGCAGCCCCCCTCCTCCGCCCTGGGCCCCTTTCCCACTGTGCTCAGGGCTGACTAGCCTAGAACATGGCTCCTGCCCTGCTGGGCCTGGCCCACGCCTGGGCGCTCCCCACGCCACGGGCGCCCCCCACGCAGGAAGCAGGCCTCAGGCTGTCTGCTGCTCACGTTAAGGAGAGGGGCTGTCACACACGTCTTTTTAATATTTTCTAATTGAGTAGTATTGATAAGAATACTTCCCCCCAAATCTCTGACATGCCGTCTGAGAGGCGCTGGCTAGTGTTTTCAGGAAAGTATTCCATGTGTTCAGCTTTCATTTTGGGGTGCTAGCAGTGGATTAGGTGTCCGCAGCGCGGTTTCCCTCAGACAGGGCGAGCAGCGCCCCCTGCCGCGCAGGATGCTGCACTGCGAGCTTGTGCTGGCGTGTTAAAAAACAGGAACTTAGCAGGGCGTGGCCAAGGCCTGGGGCCGCCCCGCGGGGCCGCGCCTCAGAAAAAAGGCAGCAGAGGGCAGCTTGGACGTCAGCGGTACATTTTATTCCCCAGGACATTACACACGCACCTCCCTGGGGAGCACGCCAGTGCAGGGCTGTGTCTCTGCGGAGAATGCACCTTGGGTGGTGTGCCCGTGTCCCCTCGGGCAGGGCCACCACACTGGACGTGAGGCGGGCCCAGGAAGCAGTTCCTCCAGCACAAAGCCTGCCTCCCGGGGCCCAGACGCGGGACTGCTCTGCCCGGAGCGCCCGCGGGCGCCTCCCTCCACGGTCTCAGCGGCCATCCCTCCCTGGCTGCCCGGAGCCCCGCGCCCAGCCTGGCATGCATACGCTGTGGTAAAGGGTAAGTTACAGGGTCATTCACGGGCGTGCCCACGACAGACGCACGCCGCCTCACACGGACTCCTCGGTGGAGAGCAGAAGCGGGTTGATGTACTCGAAGCCCTCGAACTCGGACTGGTCGATCCTCTTGATGACATCCCTGGGGGCACAGGATGGGGGTGGGGGCAGTGACTGGGGCCGTCTGCTCAGCGTGGAGATCCCTCCGTACCCCCCGTGGTGGGGGTGAAGGAGCCACCAGTGGCCCTGGCACCACCCCAGGGATGCCCTGCCTTTCTTTGTGGGCTGCTCCTGGGGCTTGAACTCAGGGTCTGGGTGCTGTCCTTTAGCTTTTTTGCTCAAGGGTGATGCTCTACCACTTGAGCCACAGCTACACTTGGGGCCTTTGATGGCTAACTAGACATAAAAGTCTCCTAGACTTTCCCGCCCAGGCTGGCGTTGAGCCCTGATCTCGGGTCTAAGCCCTGCGTGGGCGCCTGGCGGGACCCTGGACCTTGGAGTTGGGGGCACACTCGCTTGCCCGCCCATCGAGACTCACTCGTCATCCGGGGTCAGCTGCACGGGCTCACTGGTGAACTGCGTGTCGAAGTTGTCCAGGCCGTAGTCCTCCGTGATCTGTGGCTGGAAGGGCGGCAGGGCCTGCTTCTTCTCCAGCTGCGGAGGAAGCCGGGGATGTGGGTCAGCGCAGGGCTCCTGCTGAGCTCACTGTATGCGGGCTGCGAGGAGCTCCGGGGATTAATGCCAGCTGTTTTTTCCTTAAAACATTACACCTAAGGAACCATCCAATGCCAGGATTTCTCTTCAGCTAAAAAATGCTGGAAGTATGGATGGCCTGGACCACACACCTGGTACCCTGGAATCTACACACACAGGGCTGGGCCAGCCGGGCGATGCCCCTGCTCTGACCACCAGTGGGCGCACTTGCTCCACCCATGAGAGCAGGGCAGGGGGGGTAGGGGGAGGGAGCAGTTGGTGGGGGGGAGGAGACTTTTGCCCCTGCAGGCCCCAGCCTCTCTCCAGGCCAGCTGGGGCCAGGCCTGTGTAAAGAGAACCATCCTGTTGAAGTCCTCTTCATGATGATACAGTAGGGTTCTGGGGGTCCCCAGGGTGGCAGATGGGGAGAAGCAGAGGGAGGAGCCTGCGCTGAGCTAGGCAGGGGCTACTGCGGTGGCCCCAAGGGGAGGGGTGACCCCTCAGGCCCTCAGCTAGGCCACCAACGCTGGCCTCGGCTGGCCAGCCTTACAGCAGATAAGTGAGGCCTCATAAAACACCATCCAGCGCACGGGTGGGGATGGGAGGGAAGAGCCGAGAGAGAGCAGGGGAAGGGGTGGCACTGTCCAAAAAGGAATGCACTCTTAAGCAGGTGGCTCACGCCTGCAATCCTAGCCACTCAGGAGGCTGAGATCCAGGATTGCGGTTTGAAGCCAGCCTGGGGGGAAAGACAAGAGAGACTCTTATCTCTCACCCCACGTTAACTACTCCAAACCAGAAGTGGTGCTGTGGCTCAAAGTGGTAGAGCACTAACTTTGAGTGAAAAAGGTCAGGGACAGCACCCAGGCCCCACGATGGACAGATTAAAAACCCTCCCCATATCACCCTTTATAACAATGAAAAACATTAAACAACAAAAGAAATGAAACTTCACAGTTTCTCTCTTGAAGGTGGTTTCTCAGTGTCAGGACTGAGCACTGTGAGCAGCGGCCTGGTCTTTCCCGGGAAGGGCCTCGCGTCCTTCCCCGCCGCCACCTGCAGACCACTGTCCACTGGATGGAACGGGGCTGGCGGCCATGTGGGCAGCACCTGGTCCTGGGCGGGGGGTCCCCCATGCCGGCCTGGCTGCCTGGAAGCCAGGTGTGGGGGGGGGGGTGGCGCTGGGACGGAGGCGTCCGCTCCCTTTGCGTGGGCAATTTCATTTGGTGTGGCGGCGTACGCCTGGGAGCCCAGTGCTTGAGGCCAAGGAGGATCATAAGTTCAAGGCCAGCCTGGTCCACACAGTGAGACCTGGTCTCAAAAGCCAAATGCACGTTTTATAGCTCATGTGGCAGTAATTCTCCACGCGTTTGTCTACTTTGAGATTATACAAGTGTCCTCTAATACGAGGAATGGACTAACAGAGAAACACTGAACCTTGCGCTCACAGCCTCGAA